ACACTGGATGATAAAGGCTATTTCGTCAAACCGTACTTGGCAATTTTCAAGTCGGTGGATTCGTTTCTTGTCCCAGATATTGTCAAGGCTTGCGAATCCTACAGACTGCAGCTTCGGAAGCAGTGCCTTGGTGGTAGAATTGGGCTTCAACCAAACCCTGCATTTTCTCATTCTTCAATGGCTGTCTTGGTTTATCCCTCCCCAGGTTTGCGGCCACCTTGGAAACTTCCCAACGACAAAGCCTTTTTGGGCTTCAACTCAAACACTGGGAGAGGTTTTTCTGGTGTTACCAAATCCTTGTAATCACCTACACCATCCTGCAGCTTCTTTTGGACGTTTTTCTCAAAGAACTTCCCAGACAATGTGTGGGTGTCAGGAACTCTTTTGTGGAAGTCAACTGACTTTCTCATGTCCTGGCCTCTGGTACTTATCAACTAAATCCTCCACAAAGGTGGAACCACTTCAACGTAAACTGCCGATAATGGAGAGGTAATCAGACATGAAGGGATCTTTGTCCGCACCAAATGCTACATGCCTTATCATTGCCTCTCAGCTTGGGGCCTTGAGACACTGCTTTTGTCATGATATCTTTTAGGCTTTTGCTAGTCTTCGTTATATCTAACACTTCTCTAGGTAGGCCCCCAAAGTAGTAGAAATGTTGTGCAAACTCTTCATCCATGAATCCCAAGTTTGGAGCATTGCACTCCATCAACTCTTCAAGTGTTCATGCTTCCAAGTGAAAAGGCACGCCCACGTCCTTTGCGAACTTGTGAGGAAACAATTTTGGGATTAATATTAACCCATATAGCTTAAAGGATGGCTAAGTTAATTTTAGTCAGTTTAGGTTCTAATCCAGGTTTTTGGGATACAGGTGGAGTGAGTAGTGATGCAGAGGGCTTGGGGCTGCGTGGCAATTTACTTTGCATCAGTGTAATAATTCTTCTCTAAGTTTTAACAATTGGTATTAAAGGATAGAGTTCAAGAATTTATAAACTTGCTGTAATGGATTCCACAGTGTTAGTTGCTAATCAATATGTGGAGGCTTGGATGATGGATGAGGTGGTGTTAGCCCTCAATAACAGTATTAAAGTTTAGATGTGGCCTTCGATATTGTACTAAGCCAGTACAAATGTAAACAATTTGTTTTAAGGACAAAACCATATTCAATTATGGGAGGAAAATTATATAAGCTAGGATGAGAAAATGTATTATAAAGATGTGTATAATTTGAAGAAATTCAAGATTTACTTGAAAAAGTGCACTATAGATAAACAAGAGGATATTTTGCAAAAGAAATCATAACTTGAAAGATTTTACAAGCAAGACTTAAGGCTTTTTTATTTTAACAAAATTTTTTCAAGAATGTGACATTTATTAAATAACCAAATATACACTGAAAAAGCAGGTTTAAAAACTTCATCTTATAACTCCTCTTAAACCACTTCAATGATGGAAACTTGAGTTTATAAAACTAATTACAATTGATTGAACTTCAACCCATTTTATCATTTAGTTAGTATTTATGAGCATATACTTGTTTCACTTGGAACTTCAAATAACACAACAAAGTTCATCTACAAAAATATTATCAAACCTTGGAATCTCTCAATATACCAAAAAGTGCATCACAATATGTTAAAATCATTTACCATAGTATAAAGATAAGACAATAGACAATGTAACAAAATCCAATATAAAGTATGTGGGGATAACATTGAAGAAAATCATGAGCATGAGGCTCAATAATCCAAGGACTTCAAATACAAAACTTGAAAGTTTAGATGCAAAAAGACAACTCTAAGAAGACTTTCAAAAATCAATCTTGAAAATTCAACTCAACAAAAATTCTTAAACTTTAAATTCACTAAACCAAGAAGACAATATAATCTACTAAGATTTATTAACAAATGTGCATAAGATCAAGAAAAAATGAGTTCTATAAAAAAATAACAACAAGAAAAAGAAATTTCAAGCTAGAGATTTAAATCCAAATCACCCAACACCTATTCAAATTTGGAGTAAGGGTGGAATCTCTATCCCTAGCATTAAGAAAAGGAAATAGGAAAATGAAGCACACAAGCATGTAGCATCATTAAAAAATTATCAATCCCAAAGTACTTAGGATGATTGGGGTGAATTTTCTCTCACTTTACAATCTAATTTGGAAGAAAATCAAAGATCTCAACAAATAACAATATAAAGTTAGACTTTGTGAGTTCTTAAAGATCATGGCAAAGCTATATAATGTTAATATTGTCCAAAGTCTTCTCCTGATATACAAGGAAAACTTCATGCACATTAATGACTATAAATTTGTTATGAATGCTAAGTATTTTATGTGGGCTTTCAAGAAGAGCGAGTGACATCAATCCCACACATGAAGGGGATTCCACTGAAATGCATTAAAGTCTTTGAGAATTACAACTTTTTGCAAATGATCTAATGGGGGCTTGAGCCAAGGTAATGCCATTTCTCAATCTTCTTAGACCAACAAATTTAATGGAGAGATTGAAACCCTAAGTGATCAAGACTTGCATTAAGAGCTATTTTTGAACTTTTTTGCCACCCAATTGAAACATGACATGTGGCAATTTTGGGTGTACCTACATGTCATGGCAATCCAGGCTGGCATGAATTGGATTCATATGTGGCATTCCCCATGCCAACACAATCATGTTTTGATTGCTATTATAACAATTAAAATATGATTGTTGAAAACCAAAAATATATCCGTATGTTTGTAAATAAAATATGGACCAATGTGAAATCACATATTAATTGCCATGGTTATAAGTATATTAAATATAATACATAACAAGAATCTTTAATATAGATCATATTTTGTTCTCTCACTATTACAAAACTGAGACACAATATGATAAATAACTATATTAAGCACTATATAATAGGTTGGCTTATAATCGCCTTAATATAATATCAAATTTAACAGGAAATAATTTTTAAACACATAGAATATTTATTGTTAATGTCTATTAAATTTCAAATTTATTTATATATAATATAAAAGGTATTTCTAAAATTTTCAGTGGTCTTGTAATGGCTAGCACCATGGCCTAGAGCAGGCAGCCTTGAGCGCCATCGCTGCTATGGCTAGGTTGAGCAAGCTCTAGTGTTGTGGCTGCTATTGGCTACTAGGCGATGGCCAAGGGTGTGGAGGCGTGGTAGGCTGCCATGGCTAGGCTTCCAGTGCCATAGCTGCCATGGCTGGTTGTGCATGCTCAATTGCCTCATGGCTAGGCTAAGTTGTGCATTGTAGGATCAAGAACATTCACCCACAAGAGCAGCTCAGCAATGGATGGCTTGGCATGATTGATAAAAGCTTTATGATTATAATTTTTCAATTCCAGCAAATTTACCTTTTTTTCTTTTTTCTGTCCTTAGGTTTGGACTCTAATTCCAGTAAGATGTTTTATTCTCTTCTAAACGCTTTTTCATTTTTGTTAGAATAAACATGCCACAAATTTAAGAGAACCTGCTTCTCTGATGTTAGTAGCATGACAATTGAGAGGAGACAACAACAAAGCTATGGATGACTTAAGCAATGGTGCTTAAGCCATTGCAGATATCCCATGTTAAGTCTGGTTAAAATGCTATTTTTTATTATAACTAAATTGAATATTTAATTTTATTCCAAAAGGTAGCTCAACCATATATACTAGAAACTATTTCTACTCTAATTGTAGACTAAAATTATTTGTATTTAATTCAATTGGAACACCTAATTTTGTATCTAATTAAATTGAAAAAACACAGTGTCACAAAAAATTCAATGTGTGTTCCAACTCTGTTTCCATGACTGCTTGCGAACAAAGCAATGATCGCTGCATAGCAGCATAGAATGCTTTGAAAGATCTGCAAAAGAATCGCGAAAAAAGAGCAAACTCATGTTTGGGATGATGTTAACTGCGGTACAAAGCAATGCTGCAATGGCGGTGATAACATTGAAGATCCGGAAAGTTATCACGCTTCCCTGCGAGGAGCTTTGTTCGTGATGGGAAGACTGGCCGCCCTGATGATCTTCCCTAGCTCCATCGGTCAATCCCTTGTTTGATAACTCACTGCTTTGGACAAACAACGAGGAAAACAAATCAACCAATTAGCAAAAACACGGCGATGGAGAATCCGAGAAAGAAACATTATCGCTAAATTTGGACCTATCAATCGATTTATCGAAGAGGAGTGCCACAGCCAAATGCTCCTTTCACACCTCGGTGCGAGACAAAGGGCTACGTGGCTTCGTGTTTTTAAAAGTTTTTTTGAGACCTTGATAAGAGAGAGGAGGGAGGGGTGAAAAACTATTCACAACGCGCTGCAAACACGGTGGTGGTAGTGGCGTGGTTAAATCATACCCGAGAATTCGAATATTCTAAAGCGATCCGTGTACCAACTTGTGTGGCTGATTGGTGTGGTTCTACTTTTTTTTGCTACAAAGTAGAATATTAATTGATATGTCGTGGGGTGGAATCGAATGTTTTAGGGGGGAAGGAGCAAGAAATCCACACTACTGCTTTGTTCTCAAAATTGAAACATTTTGATTGTTTCTTCGTTCGTCCATTGCACTTTAGATTCTCTCTCCAATATCAAAAACTTGGTATTAACATGTTTTAATCCTGTTTTAAGCACCAGTTAAGATTAGCAACATAAAAAAAACCTCAGCTAATACACCACCCTGATGATAGTGTCTTAAGCTCCACGCATTTCATTTCATCATCAGGCTCCTAAAGAAGAATCCCTCCTTGTGTCCAAATTGGAATCCGATGATCAGGATGATTCCAGTGGGGGAATATCTGTCCAGCTTTCCACACCAAGTTCTCGTGAGAAGTTCTTTCTGAGAGAGCGCTTGGTTCGTCACCACAGAGAAACATTCCTCCACCATTTTTAAGCTTTTGCTCCATCCCACTTATTTAAAGAGCTCACACTCCGCAAGTTGGACCTCCTACACACACTCTCAAAGAGAAGAGAAGATTGATAGTGAAAAGATGGACGCGTTAGCTTCCGACAGCGTCCCATGGCTGTCACGGCTGCTATCCGCTCTAAGAACTGGAATTGCATGCTTACTTGTCTTGCTTGGTGTGTCCAAAGCCAGCCGTTTTGTTGAATTCCCCGTCTTTGGATATGTTGTCACAGTTCTCGTGCTCAGCGAGTCGGCACTCGGCAAAGCTCTCGAAGATGCTGCCTTTGTCATGTATGGAACTCTCCAGGCTGCTGCATTCTCGATGGTGGTGCTGTCGATCATAGGTGAGTCAGTGGTTTCTCTCGAGTTTAACAAAAGGGAAAGCACCTGGGAGCTGATCATCGTCTTGGTTTTTGCCTCCTCCATTCCTCCAGGAACGAAGAACTTCTCGCTCGGCGTGTGCCTCACTTGTATCTTCGTCAAGAGCTTCCTGTGGAGCTATCTCCCGAACCAAAAGCCAGTGAAGAAGAGGCTCGCGCTGGCCATCACCACCATCGTCTACGTGAATGCGTACAACAATCCCCTGACTCATCCGGTCTTCTTTCCGCTCAAGTTGACGCTCACCACCACGCTCGGCACTGTGTCTGCGATAATTGCCTTGATATTCCCCGTGCCACGCCTCTCAGCTTATCAGGTACCATTCGCTTTACTTTGAGTCATTCACCCCCCTTTAAAGTTTTTGGTTCCTCCATTCTCCCCGCAAGCCGTGTCTTGTAGGAACACTCAGCCGGCATGCCACTTTCCGTCACGATTCCGTCCAAAAGCCTTTGATCCACCTAGGAAGCCTTCCTTTCGGTCCCAACACTTCCAAGCTTCATAACCTCTGCGCTTACGTTTGTTCTTCTGCTTCACAGGTGCAATATAACACGAAGCTCTTCGCCAAGCTCGCGATGGAAAACTTTGCTGTCCTTGTCCATGCATTCTGCAGTAACGACCAAGAAGAGATCACGAGTTTGTGCCTGCAATCCAAATCAGTGCAGCGAGCTGCTTTGAAAGCGTACTCGGAGATACAGAGAAGAAAAGTAACGTACCTCAGAGAAGGAAACTCTCTCATACTGACAGTGTGTGCTACATACAGGTTGAAACAGCTTGGGAGCCTGGGGTTTTGGTTCAAGCAAGGAGTCAAGGTGAAAACGTGAGCCGAATGATAACCAACATGAATCAGTACCTGATTGGGATGAACATCGCGATTCAGCAAGGTGCAGCTGTTTCGAAGCTGGTTCAAGATATGACGAGGAACTCCTTGGAGAAACTCGGGAGCTGGAGCAACTCTTTTCTGTCAGGTACAATCTCTAGTTTTCCAAAATCTCAAATCCAGGCCGAGAAGCAAGTCCGGATTGAGGAAGTTCGCGAAGCTCTGCTGACTCTTCATGATTATGCCGCGGCTACTTGGAACCGCTCAGACTGTACACCGGATGAGGAATTTCGACGGATGTTTTTCCTGTTCACTGTCAAAAAGTTTGTCGAGGAGGAGATCAAGATTCTGATGGCCGGCCAAGTTCCTGTTGCTTTGTCACATCCTGCTTGCCACCACGGTTGCAAAGCAGCAGCAATTTCAAGCGGATCAGCTCTCCCAGTTCACTCATCAAACACCACTCCAAGTAACTTAGTCGCAGCAACGAGGAGATCATTGAATCTGGCAGCGAATAAGAAAATGGTCATTGAGGCATTTAAGATCGCACTATCAATGGTCATAGCTGTGTACCTGGGAGTGCTGTACAGGAAGGACTATGGGTACTGGTCGACTATCACAGTAGCATTGGGCCTTTTCAACCATCGCACCGGAACGTTCAAGAGCACCAGCCTGAGGCTCCAAGGTACAGCCCTGGGAACAGTATATGGTTATCTGGTCGCATTGACAACACATCAAGCTCTACTTACCACCATTTTTGCAATATTGCCTTGGCTGGCCTTTACGAGCTTCATGAGAAAGAGCAAACTGCTGGAACTCACTGGAGCATCCACGGCTTACACCTCGGCTGTCATCATCGTCGGAAGAAGGCGACCCGGAATTGTTCAAGACTTTGCGGTTCTTCGCATGGCAATGGCTGTTCTTGGCCTGGGGGCTTTTATGGCCGTTGAGGCACTCATCTGTTCCAGGAGAGCAGCGAGACTTGCACGCAGGGAACTCGAGCTTAACTTGAAGAAAATCCAGGAATGCATGCAGGTGATATTTGACGTGCACAGCATAGAATGCAGTGAGTGCTTTAAAGCAGCGATACCTGAGGTGAGAAAGAAGGAGCAAACAATCAGAGATGGAGTCGAACGTCTGAGACAACTTACAGCTGAAGCAAGAGCAGAGCCTGACTTCTGGCACGCACCGTTTCATGACGGTATCTATAGCAAGCTCTGGGAGAGTCAGAGTAGGATAACGGAGCTCTTGAGTTACCTGAGCCTCGCAACAGTCGACTTCCGGTCAGAAGGCAAACTGTTCACTGGGGGTGTCACTCGCCAACTAAAGATAAGCCAAATTGGCCTCTCAAAAACTTTCGAGTGCACTTATCAGTCCCTGCGGCAAAAAAGAAGCAAGGCCCAGCATACTGCAGACATAGAGAATCAGTTCGAAGAGTCTAGCATCAAAGACGACGCCGACACCTCACCCCCAGAAGAAATCTACAGAGATTTCCAGCTAGTGCATTCGGAAGCCGCGTTGACGATTGGAGCAATCGGCTTTTGCTGCCACGAGCTTCTAAAACAAGCCACGTATCTCAAAAAGCTGACGCAAGAGCTGCTACTGCAGGAAGAAGAAGAATCGCAGAGTTAGAATTGGATATTGTTCTGTAAGCAAAATGTAAGCAAGAATGCCTGCAAACCTACAGGCAAAGCATCTTTGAACTAAATTTTAAAAACTTACACTCTCAAAACCACCATATAGCGAAGATGCCAGAAACTGAGTCTCATTTAGACGTAAAACTACATAAAATACATAAATCGTCAACCTCTTGCAGAGAGCAAGCCTTGTAATTCACCCCTTCTCTTTTCTAGCTCCTGCAAATCCAGATTAGAGCACAATTCGCAAAATCTACGCAAGAGATACCTCGAGATCTTTAGCAGCCTTCTCGCGCTCTTTTGATTTTTCAATGCGGGAACGCTTGAATTTTCTAATGCACAAAAGGCCCTGCCAGTTGATGCAAGAAAACCGTGGTAAAACCTCCAAGAAAACGAACAAAAGCATACTCACTGCTACAACGTAAACTGCACCACATCCCAGGAGCATTCCACTAGCGACTTCCGAAAAGACCACTTGATAAGCACGGTCCTTGTGCTCATCTGATAGGGCCTTTGTCATCACTGCTACACTGCAAAACAAAGCTCTCGTTAACAAAGAAGAGCGAAGAAACAAATTTTGTAAGAGAAGCTTACAAAATCTGCAGCATGCCTCGTCCAACCCAGTACTCAAGAACCTATGCACAAAACGAGCGAGCAATCACATCGAAATAGCAGAAGAAAAGCGGTTCTAGAACTTACACGCCAGAACTTCAAGAAGAATTCCCATTCGGTCTCGGCCACAGCGACGAAGAGCGCGATCACTACCGCGTAGCAGCGAAGAATCCCTTCAAATATCTGTTGAAACGAAACATCGAGCCTAGATGGATGTTTCACCTCGACCAGAAGAGAAACTTACATCGCGGCCATGCTTGAAGGCTCGCACCACCGAAATCACACTCACCGCAGTGCACAGCAAGGCCGAGATCGCAGTGAGAGCGCTAAATATCCGAAATGCGATCACCAGAGCGTCCGGCCCTCGCGGCTCTCGTCGATCTAGACCGCTTCTGCTGCTCTCGGCGTCGCCCTCGCTAAGAATGGAACTCATCGATCGATCGATCCGCAAACCCTACTAGCGCCTTCTTTCAAAGAGAAGACAAATTTCTACCATAGCCATTCTTTTTAGGGTTCTTGGCCAATGTTTTGCTACTAACTAACTTGGCGCGATGGCGGGCGCTCTAATCCAGTCGTGGGATGAGATCGAAGGAAAGGTGAAGAGCAAGGTGGGACAGCTAACGGGACTGCTCCAGCATTTCACCGCTTCTTCCGAGTCGGATTCCGATATTTACTACCAGGTTTGTGCGATCGATCGCCATCTGTGGTTGATTGAATGGATATTTCGGGAGAATGGGAGATTATTTCGGGTGTTTTGGTTGTTTGTAGAATTTGGCGAGCCGGCATGACACCGAGATTGAGGAGATTCTTCGCGAAACTGTGGGGCGACTCCAGCTCTTTAGAGATGCAATGCAGTATAGCGTCGAGGGAGATCACATCAAAGCCGCGGCCGAGGTAGAGCCTTTGTTTTCCTCTTTCTTTCTTTTCTTCCTTTTCGAGGCTTATACATGAAAGTAAGAAAAATAAAATGCAGGCTGTGCGACTCGAGGCCGAGAATGAGCTCAATGCTTATAAGAAGGTAAGAACTTCGTTCCTTCCATTTTTTTGTTTTAATTCTTTTCTTCTTCTTCTTCAATAGACATCTCAAGAGCGGCAAGAAGCATTGGAGGCGACTCACAACCAAAAGATGGAGCTTGTTGAGGGGTATGATTTTCACTTTGCAACTAGGAGGAGGAATGCTTACTAGGAATGTGGTGCTCTAGAGCAACAGGAATATGGCTTTAATGAGGGAGACGCTGGATAAAGCGACTACTGAGCTCCAGACAACGCTAGAAACAATCAGCCGTCTTTCGGATGTGTGTAAGATTCTTTTATCGCTCTCATTTGGCTAAATGCTCGCTTTCAGGAGCTTGAAGAAGTAAAGCGTTTGCACGAAAAAGAGGTAAGGTTGCTAAGTACGAACGAGAACTTCATGCCGGTCTTTGTTTGATTTTCACCGGCCAGATTGGAAAGGAACGGATTGAAAGAAAGAGCGAGGCAGAGGCTCTTTTGCAAAAGCACGAGGCTGAACTTCGGGCCCGGATTGAACGTCAAGAGGAAGAGCAAATGAAGCAAGAGGCTTCACACGAAGACCTGATGGATGTGAGAGCTTAATCACGTGTTTTGGTCCGTATTATGTTCGGTTTGATTATTTTCTCAGCAACTTCGAGCTTATTACAAAGACGAGATCAGTCGGCTGAAGGTAAGCTAGTCAGTTGATTCGATTTGTAAAATTTTATACTTTTGCAGGTAGAGAACGAAGAGAAGGTGTCTACACTTCAACAAAACTATGATGCATTGCAATACGACTTGACTACCGAAGTAAGATTTTAATGATCTGGTCCAGTTTCACCTATCAATGGATTTTTTTTTCTTTTCTTTTTTTTTCAGAAACTAGCCATTCAGAACAGGCTGACTGTCGTGTACAAGGAAAGGGAAGCTCTAGCAAAAGAGACGGCCATGCTGAAAGGAAGCCTCAGAGAGGCCAATTCCTTGATTGAGAATGCTCATGCGGAGCATCTACAGGTGGTTTGCTTATTCTCTTGCTTTGGTTTCCTACTTAATCGTTCTTACGCTCTTGTATGATCTCGCCACGTAAAGGATTGCAGACGAGGTCTAGTTTGGAAGACGACATCCAAGTCCTGAAGGAAGACAACAGGCATTTGGTGCTACTCGTTTTGACTTCCTAATTATTTACATTTACAATTGCGTCATGTTGATCACTATATCAGGAGGAGCGATTGAAAGGTGCCCTTGCAGATATGTACAAGTTGTCCGAGCATGCAGAGTAAACTCCTGGCTCTCTTTGACCGGTATAATTTTTTTCTTTCTTCCGAGTGGCCTTCTACAGTGTTGAGAAGAATGCATCTGCGACAAGCTTGGCTGAACTGGTAGTACTTCGTTTTTCTAATTTTCGACAAAAACTTGTTTTGTTTTGGCAGGAAGATACGATCCGAAGATTAAAGTACGAGTTAGATAAGATGACTAGCAGCAGTAAGAAGAAAGAGGACATTATCAGTAATGATAACTGCAAGGTTGGGGATTGCATGGATTTTATGTTGAAGAAGCTTTTAAACTAACGTTGATTTTTCAGATTGAACAACTGCACTCATCCTTAACAAAGACCCAGAGAGAGCTGGACGTTGCATTGGCAGAGGTTTGCTGAAAGTGTTTAGGTTGTTATTGAACTTTGTCTCAACAGCTCGAGAAAGAACGATATAACATAGCAGTTAAGGACGACGAGATTCAAGAGCTAGATTCTGTGAAGAGAGGAATTGGTGAAGAAGCGTCCCAGCTGCGTTCAAGCCTTTCAGAAGTATAATCAACAGTCCAAGCTTTCTGATTTGCTTCCTGTGTTTTAGAAAGAAGACTATATTCAACGGCTGGAGGTCAGGCTTAAAATTCACGTGGCCGAACATGAGTTGAAACTGAAAAACATGGAGGAAGACTTTTCGCGAACGGTAGTACTTTTCTTCTTTCTTGTTTATTTATATTACTGTTCCTTCTTGTGTTCTACAGAGAGAACTTCGGCGAGAGAAGCACCGGAAAGAAGTCAAGGGATTGCAGTCTAAGCTGAAGGAGCAACAACTGAAACACCTGACTCATTTAAATATTTATCAGAAAAGGGTAAGCAAATGAAACATATGTTTTGATATCAATTATAGTGTCGTGTGTGAAAGGTTGATCACCTCGAGGCTGAAATTGAGACGCTGAAAGTACATGGTGAGCATGAGCTTAAGTCTCTGAACTCCCAAGTAACAGATCATGAAGACAATTTTAAACTGGTACGCTGAAACTGGTCGACGATGTGAGCTTTATGTTCTGATGTGAAGGTGTGCCTAAATTTTGAACGAAGACTTCAAGAATCTCAACGAAAGGGTACACAGCTGGAAGAGTCACTGGAGTTGCTGGCTCAAGAGGTAAGGAGATTGTCTCGTGTTTATTTGATCTGAATCAGTTGATAGTTTTCAGCTTCATTCGAGAGAAAGGCAAAAGGTTGCTGACATCGAATCATTGAACCGAGAACTTGAGGATGCGAAACTTGCGGAGAAGAATGCTGAAGCGGCGGCTTTGCAAAGCTATTTGGCCAAGCTTGAACAGTAAACAAAAGACAAGGACGCGTTCATAATCGTAGTTGTGATCCCTGTAGGAAGGAGAAGGAATTCCATCAGAACGTGGAAGACGAACATGAACGAGCTGAATGCGCGATTCAAAAGTTGAACGAGATGCATGCTATCGCTATAGAAGTTGCTCTCCATAACCACCAGGTTGGTCCTGTGTTTTTTTTTATTCTTTGCTTGTTTGTCAGGGATTAGTAATTGTGCAAATTCTGCAGATGGAGCGTGACGCTCTTAAAAACGCGTTTGAGGAAACTAAGGTAAATCATTTTCAATTTATACTTTAGAAACACTTAATCTGCATGACAGGCACAAGAGATTCGAGTGGCAGCTGAGAAATATCAGAAGCAAATAGAGGAGGCTGAGGCTGAGTTTGAAGAGGAGCGCAGAAGGTTCAGGCGTGAGCAGGATGAAACACGAGTTTTAGTTGTTCAGCAACAAAATGCTTTAGTAATGGCTCATCAGCACGCTCTCGAGGTATTTCCTGTTGCTTTTCAGAATTTCCTTGTATGTAACGCATTGGAAAAACACAGGCTCAGATGAAAAAGGCAGAGGTTGAGGTGACTCAACTCAAAGAAACTCATGCGAGGGAGATGGCTATTACTGTGTCTCGGTCCACTGAAAAGGTGGTCTTGGAATCTCTGACCTTGCATGAAGACCACAAGAAGCGGCTAGAACGTCTTTCTGAAGTCCATAGATCAGAGACGCAAAAACTGAACGAGATCCACGCAAAGGAAACAGAGAAGGTTGGGCTTGCTCTTATTTATATTGTCTTCTTTCTAACTCCTCCAGGCAGACTAAATCCCATAACTCTCACTTGATGCACCGTATCACCGAGCTGGAAAACATGATCACTCTTAAGGTTCGCCTCATCACCATCAGTTGAAGGGGCATTTAGTCTCTCACTTTTGATTCTTACAGGAGAAAAAACTGAAAGATTTAAGCCATAATAGCCGTGAGATTGAAATAAAGAGCGAATCTGCTTTGAAGGAGTTGAGGCTGAGCCATGAGAAAGCGTAAGCTTTAATATAGTTAAGCCGCACGTATTCCTTTCTTTGTACTGCCAGCTTCAACTTTCAGCGGTGCAAGTTTTCCAAGGACAAGGAAGCTATGGCAAAGCAACTGGAAAAGAAATACCGGACCGAGCTAGACACCTGCAACGCGTTTCATGCACAGCAATACCAAAATCTCCAACAAGATCTCAACCGTAGCAAGGTAGCTTGTTTCCCTTTTACATTCTTCTGTATCAATCTTGGAATCGCCAGCTTGTGATGAGGCAAAAGCAAGCAGAAATGACAGAGTTACAGCAACAGTTTGTGAAGCTGAAGGTAACGTCTCTTTGTGTCCTGTTGACAAGATTTTTAATTTGCTTTTTCCAGAGCTGCAGGAACGATTTGATAACCGAGAGTCGAAACCAGAAGATGTGGAGAGAATTACATACTTGGAGCAGCTGTACGTGAAGCTTCAAGAGTCGTGCGAAGCTAAGGATCTGGCGTACCAAAGACTTCACGGTAAGTTTTTTTCTTTGTCACTTCTTTAGACGCATTGGCTGATGGCTTACGCAGGTGAGTCGAAACAAATCAAGATGGAAATGCTAAACCGAGAAGAAAACTACAACAAAATCTTCAGGAGCTCCCCAGTGGTCCAGCCGGTAAACTTTACGTTTAGACTCCTCGCTTTTGGTTCGATTCTTTTTTCCCTCTATGTTATGCTAGACATCGATTGAATTGAAGCCAAGGAGCCCATCGCGATCGGCGCAAGGCTCACGCTCAGCATCTCGTCAAGGCAACCGTGTGGAAATAAAGTTCTAGATCATTCTAAGTGCCACCTGGTAAATTAAAGCCAGACGTCGGCATTGTTTTCTTCCGATGTTAAATTTATAAAAGTTCGCATGAGAATCAGGAGCATATTCTTGGATAAGCAACTAAACCGCAAACTCTGCTGACCGCTGTTGACTCGCCTCTTGGACATAATTCAAAGAAGCATTTTGACTTGGAAGAACAGCAAAACTTTACGAGCGAGTCAAAACAAGCCCTAAACAGAAGTTAGGGCTCTGGATTACGTGGAATTAAACCTATCCCACATGCCGGGGCGTGGCTTGAGGCCACTAAACCAGTATATAAGCTAGGGCCAGGTGGATGGGATTTATTGGTGATCATAAAGGCTAATAGCCTAGGTTTGGTTCTTTTAATGCACTTTGGCTTGGCTAGCCAGCCAAAGTGTTTCAATTGTTGTTTGCATTGTTCCCTCGTCGTTGTCTTGTTGCACGACCGACGCGTTCGTCGTTGCTTGCGTTGTTCCTTCTTGGCTTTCTTGAGCAAGAGGAGTGTCTACTGTTGGTTGCGTTGTTTCCTCTTGTTTTCTTGCGCCACCGTGTCACCCAGTTTCTCCCTCTTCATGAGCTCCAGGAACTTTTCCTTCTCCTCTGGAGTGGAATACTCGAGCGAGCAGTCGCCCACTCCAGGCTGCCATTCACGCTAGGCAAGTAAATTCATTCAAGTGAACTTGCTAGCGTGCATCAGAATGCTTCGATGTAGAAGCGAATCCTGCTTTTCTTTTTAGTCTTCTATAAAATCCCATTGTGGCTGGACCTAAATTTCGGAAGATTGGGAGAAGTGGGCGACGCTAGGCATCACTCATTTGGAGGTGGCGCTTATAGAATTTGGTGGGGTGCTGGTGGAGGCTGCGGATCAACACAAAGTCAGCTTGCCTAAGATGACAACAACGAATGTGGATATCGCTGAAGTTGCTGGTGGTATGTATGTGCCTCATAAGAATCAAATGGCTTAGCTTTTGTTGTGCAGAGCTTGTAGAACAATCCAGGAAACTAACAAACATAATGAGTAGCTTGCAATCCACACTTTCCAGAATGGAGGGAGCCAAGCAAGATCTAGATTTCGATGGTATCTCGTCTCTCGAGCTCTTGATCTCTTCTTACAAGTGTATACTTAGCTTTGAAGTGGCTCCTTTTGTGCAGAACAATTTAAAGCGCTCCTTGGTAATCCGGGTGACCCTGGCTGCGAGGATAAAGTAAAGGCCATGATAGAAAATGGCTGGGATATCCACAATGTCGTTTTTGACCATGGTGCCACCACTGCACTCCATTGGGCAAGCGCGAGTGGGAATCTCAGTCTGGTCAAGGCTTTACTTCCCAGAAGCATCAGAGACATCCTCAAAAAGGATGGGCTTGGCAACACTGCACTTCATGCAGCCGTTATGAGCAACGTTGCAGGGGTTCTTGCGGTATTGCTTGAACAAATCAAGAAGAAGAAGCTAAAAGCTGTGGGCTTGTGCAACAACAAAGGAAAAACACTCTTGCACATAGCAGTTACATTCGTGGATAGAATAAATGTTATCCGTTTGCTAACTTTACTTCCAACGAGCATTGATGACATCGTGAGGCCTGATAACGATGGGAATACCCCACTTCATGTAGCTGCTTTTTGTGGTTATCATGGCACGTTCAACTATATGATTGAACGGCTAGGAGCCAACTTTGATGCCGATCAGTATGTCAACAACTATGGCAACACACCTCTTCATGTGGCTATGAAAAACGGACGTGACAATATGTGTATTTTGTTGATAAAACTGGGTGCTAGTCTTTACAAACTCAACAAAGCTGGCCTTTCACCACTGATGCTGCTGGGAAAGGTGCATCAGCCTCTCCAGGTGAGAATCATGAGGAAAGTCCTCAAGAGAATACTGTCAACCGACCTAGCAGGTATTTCTGAAGAGCTTATGCGATTGCTGACAGTTCCTGAGGTTGGGCATCTCTTAGTCTTGCATAACAGCCTTTGTATTGGGAAACTAGACCTGGTGAAGCCTCTATTTAGGCACTTCGACGTCGAGCATAATCGTCTTGCCCAGCTACTAGTTGAAAAGGACAGCAGGTTTACAGGGGAGACCTCTTTGCATGTAGCAGCTTATGGACAGGATGTTGCGGTTCTGAACATGGTGGTGGAGAAGCTGCAGGAAGGTGGGGACCCTTGGGACATAGACTGCACTAACAACATGGGGCAGACGCCTTTGCACATTGCATTTGCAGGAGGCAACACTAAAATGGTTGAGCGTTTGCTCGAGCTCAAAGCTGATATAAACAAGACTGACAACATGGGCACTGGCATGTTGCACTTTGCTTGTAGAGGTAAAGGTAGGAAGGTTGAGGTTCTTGAGCTCTTGGAGGAGAAGCAAGGGGAGAAGCTGGAAATCAACAAGGCAACAAAGACTGGCTTGACCCCGCTGCATTATGCAGCTTGGAATGATAAAGAAGAAGCAGGGAAATGGTTGATAGACAGGAATGCCGATTTGACTGCTGAGGATTCTGTTGAAGGACTTATGCCATGGCATTGGGCTGTCATTAGAGGATCTGGAAAGTATACTTGGCTTGTCGACTCTCACTTGGAAAGAAGTGTAAGATTGTTTAATGGGAATGTGGACTTTGAAAGGTGGCAACAGGTGTTTCATTTAATTGAAGCCCATCGCTCAAATGAGCCAGATTTGGTGTGTCGGAGAGTATTAAACGGTATTCAGGCGCAGCACAGGAAACTTGAGCCTGGATTATTGGCTTGCATTGCGGCCTTAGGAGGTAACCACACAAATGAAAAGCTTGCATCACTTCTCATTAAATTCTCATCAGACAATTACATTTTAAAAATAGTCAAGGAATCACGAATATTGGAATGGGCCGCATTCTATGCCAAGAACACAACAAGGGGAAGAACACGAGCAAGCGATGTAGAGCCAATGTTCAGGGCCTTGGAGATCTTAAGCCAACTAGATCGTCGTGGCAAAGAGCAGCTAAGTAGATATGCTTCTAGCAGCCAGTTTTTGGTGGATGCTTTCAAGATTGGTTTCCTTAGTGCAGATGTGTGGAAATCCGGGTTTGCCACGAGCCTAGCTACAGCAAGCAGTCGATGGGGGCTTGGCGATCTGATCAAGTCAGTCCTGCTGCCAAGTGCTCGTTGGTCTGACCAGGAATCGAACGAGAATCTAAACAGGGTCCACAGAAGTAGACATTTGGTCCACATGAGCATCTCTAACTTGGAGGAGGACATCCCTCTGGCTTACTGGTTAACAAGGCTGAAAGTGAAAAACACAGCAGAAAGTACTGGCAGTGGAAGATCAAAGCAAGACGAGAACAAGAGCAAAGCTCTTGTAAAGAAAGTTGAAGATCTTTTAGAAAGCAGGAAGATTGGAGGGATGCTGGAGTACCCAAATGACAAGGGAGCTCACACAGGCAGGACTGCCTTGCATTGGTCCACCATCTTTGAGGAGACCTCTACCACCCTCTCTATCCTCCATACAAGGAATTGTAGAGTTGACATATTTGACAACTTTGGAAAGGCACCATATTGGTATGCTCCAAAATCCTGGAAAAACAGCTTTCTGCTCAACAGCCTGAAGTGGGAGCAGTACCTGGACAACTTGCACAGGGACCGGGAAGTGTTTGTAGATGCCCTCAATGCCATATTGGTGGGGGCAGCTCTGATTGCAAGTGTGACATACAGTGGATCCCTCAGCCCACCTCTGCAATACTCCCTGAAGCTCATGAACCACGGCCAGCAGGAGGATGACCTCAAGTATGTGGCCATCAACAATCCAGGAGTGAAAGCATTCTGGATCTTCAACAGCCTCTCCTTCTTCTTTGCAATGGCAAGTGCACTGGCTGGAGTTGCAGGCATCCTCCCACTGCCCCAGGTGTTTGACTTGGGTGTCATTGACAGGCTGAGGTGGACACTGCTCCTCGCTGCAAGCCTGCTGGTTGGCTCGATTTGCTTTGTTCTCGTGGCGTTTGCATGTGCAGGCTTTGCAGTCTTGCCACCTTTGTTCCGCTACAACGTTGTTATGATAGTCACATCGGTGCCGGGGGGATTGCTGTGCATGCTGATGACTTTGCTGTTTATCAAGGCGCTCTCTCCGCTTCTGTCTTGGGCGTACACATGGTATACTGATGCTCCTGGTCTGAAAGCCCCGAAACAGGAGGGCAGAGTGGAGGAAACTGCGGTGGATGTTGTTGACACTGAGGACCAGAATGCCGGCAAGATCTTGAGGTGGGTGCTAGACCCAAGTAAACAACCGGTTTACTCTGGTGTGATCTACCGGAGGATTCGTGGATACCCGTGGATGGATGGTTTGGAGCGGCTTGGTCAGAGTAGCTGAGTTGTCTTGTTTGCTCTCGCGGCTTCATCCCCATCTGCTGCTTTTGACCGCGTTTGATCTTCACAGTACCTGATTTGTAGCACTTGCTATAAGCTCCTGATTGATCACCAGACCGTGCTCTTCTCCGGCTTCTTCGGCCACCAGGTATGCCTCTCGCAGGAAAACGTATTGCTCGGCTGCCAGCCAAGGTGGTGACGTCCGAGACGAGCGCCCTCTTCTACACGGTAAAGCTCAGGAGCTCCAGGATCCCGGAGACCCCAGCCGGTGTGTGACACGCCCGCTGGGAGAATTCGTAAGGAACGGTAGCCTCTGGAAGTTCTCGAGCTGCTCGAGCTAGAGCCTTCCGGATATGAGATGACAAAGGCCGCGTCCTTGATTGAGCCACAGCTTTCTTCCGTTCCGTCACAGCCAGTTCTCCGTCCCATGAAACCAGCTCGACGTAGGAATCCTCGGAAGAAGGCGACCCGGAATTGTTCAAGACTCTGCAGTTCTTCGCATGGCAATGGCTGTTCTTGGCCTGGGGGCTTTTATGGCTGTTGAAGCACTCATCTGTTCCAGAAGAGCTGTGAGACTTGCACGCAGGGAACTCGAGCTTAACTTGAATAAAATCCAGGAATGCATGCAGGTGATATTTGACGTGCACAGCATAGAATGCAGTGAGTGCTTTAAAGCAACGATACCTGAGGTGAGAAAGAAGGAGCAAACAATCAGAGATGGAGTCGAACGTCTGAGACAACTTACAGCTGAAGCAAGAGCAGAGCCTGACTTCTGGCACGCACCGTTTCATGACGGTATCTATAGCAAGCTCTGGGAGAGTCAGAGTAGGATAACGGAGCTCTTGAGTTACCTGAGCCTCGCAACAGTCGACTTCCGGTCAGAAGGCAAACTGTTCACTGGGGGTGTCACTCGCCAACTAAAGATAAGCCAAATTGGCCTCTCAAAAACTTTCGAGTGCACTTATCAGTCCCTGCGCCAAAAAAGAAGCAAGGCCCAGCATACTGCAGACATAGAGAATCAGTTCGAAGAGTCTAGCATCAAAGACGACGCCGACACCTCACCCCCAGAAGAAATCTACGGAGATTTCCAGCTAGTGCATTCGGAAGCCGCGTTGACGATTGGAGCAATCGGCTTTTGCTGCCACGAGCTTCTAAAACAAGCCACGTATCTCAGAAAGCTGACGCAAGAGCTGCTACTGCAGGAAGAAGAAGAATCGCAAAGTTAGAATTGGATATAGCTCTGTAAGCAAAATGTAAGCAAGAATGCCTGCAAACCTGCAGGCAAAGCATCTTTGAACTAAAATTTAAAAACTTACACTCTCAAAATCAGCATATAGCGAAGATGCCAGAAACTGAGTCTCGTTTAGACGTAAAACTACATAAAATACATAAATCGTCAACCTCTTGCAGAGAGCAAGGCTTGTAATTCACCCCTTCTCTTTTCTAGCTCCTGCAAATCCAGATGAGAGCACAATTCGCAAAATCTACGCAAGAGATACCTCGAGATCTTTAGCAGCCTTCTCGCGCTCTTTTGATTTTTCAATGCGGGAACGCTTGAATTTTTTAATGCACAAAAGGCCCTGCCAGTTGATGCAAGAAAACCGTGGTAAAACCTCCAAGAAAACGAACAAAAGCATACTCACTCCTACAACGTAAACTGCACCACATCCCAGGAGCATTCCACTAGCGACTTCCGAAAAGACCACTTGATAAGCACGGTCCTTGTGCTCATCTGATAGGGCCTTTGTCATCACTGCTACACTGCAAAACAAAGCTCTCGTTAGCAAAGAAGAGCGAAGAAAGAAATTTTGTAAGAGAAGCTTAGCATGCCTCGTCCAACCCAGTACTCAAGAACCTATGCACAAAACGAGCGAGCAATCACATCGAAAGAGCAGAAGAAAAGCGATTCTAGAACTTACACGCCAGAACTTCAAGAAGAATTCCCATTCGGTCTCGGCCACAGCGACGAAGAGCGCGATCACTACCGCGTAGCAGCGAAGAATCCTTCAAATATCTGTAGAAACGAATGTGAAACATCCATCTAGGCTCGATGTTGGACGAGAAGAGAAACTTACATCGCGGCCATGCTTGAAGGCTCGCACCACCGAAATCACACTCACCGCAGTGCACAGCAAGGCCGAGATCGCAATATCCGAAATGCGATCACCAGAGCCTCCGGCCCTCGCGGCTCTCGTCGATCTAGACTGCTTCTGCTGCTCTCGGCGTCGCCCTCGCTAAGAATGGAGCTCATCGATCGATGGATCCGCAAACCCTACTAGCGCCTTCTTTCAAAGAGAAGCGAAATTTCTACCATAGCCATTCTTTTTAGGGTTCTTGGCCAATGTTTTGCTACTAACTAACTTGGCGCGATGGCGGGCGCTCTAATCCAGTCGTGGGATGAGATCGAAGGAAAGGTGAAGAGCAAGGTGGGACAGCTAACGGGACTGCTCCAGCATTTCACCGCTTCTTCCGAGTCGGATTCCGATATTTACTACAAGGTCTGTGCGATCGATCGCCATCTGTGGTTGATTGAATGGATATTTCGGGAGAATGGGAGATTATTTCGGCTGTTTGGTTGTTTGTAGAGTTTGGCGAGCCAGCATGACACCGAGATTGAGGAGATTCTTCGCGAAACTGTGGGGCGACTCGAGCTCTTTAGAGATGCAATGCAGTATCGCGTCGAGGGAGATCACATCAAAGCCGCAGCCGAGGTAGAGCCTTTGTTTTCCTCTCTCTTTCTTTTCTTCCTTTTCGATACATGAAAGTAAGAAAGAAAAAAACGCAGGCTGTGCGACTTGAGGCCGAGAATGAGCTCAATGCTTATAAGAAGGTAAGAACTTCGTTCCTTCCATTTTTTTTGTTTTAATTCTTTTCTTCTTCTTCAATAGACATCTCAAGAGCGGCAAGAAGCATTGGAAGCGACTCACAACCAAAAGATGGAGCTTGTTGAGGGGTATGATTTTCACTTTGCAACTAGGAGGAGGAATGCTTACTGGGAATGTGGTGCTCTAGAGCAACAGGAATATGGCTTTAATGAGGGAGACGCTGGATAAAGCGACTACTGAGCTCCAGACAACGCTAGAAACAATCAGCCGTCTTTCGGATGTGTGTAAGATTCTTTTATCGCTCTCATTTGGCTAAATGCTCGCTTTCAGGAGCTTGAAAAAGCAAAGCTTTTGCACGAAAAAGAGGTAAGGTTGCTAAGTACGAACGACAACTTCATGCCGGTCTTTGTTTGATTTTCACCGGCCAGATTGGAAAGGAACGGATTGAAAGAAAGAGCGAGGCAGAGGCTCTTTTGCAAAAGCACGAGGCTGAACTCCGGGCCCGGATTGAACGTCAAGAGGAAGAGCAAATGAAGCAAGAGGCTTCACACGAAGACCTGATGGATGTGAGAGCTTAATCACGTGTTTTGGTCCGTATTATGTTCGGTTTGATTATTTTCTCAGCAACTTCGAGCTTATTACAAAGAGGAGATCAGTCGGCTGAAGGTAAGCTAGTCAGTTGATTCGATTTGTAAAATTTTATACTTTTGCAGGTAGAGAACGAAGAGAAGGTGTCTACACTTCAACAAAACTATGATGCATTACAATACGACTTGACTACCGAAGTAAGAATTTAATGATCTGGTCCAGTTTCACCTATCACTGGCTTTTTGTTTTTCAGAAACTAGCCATTCAGAACAGGTTGACTGTCGTTTAGAAGGAAAGGGAAGCTCTAGCACAAGAGACGGCCATGCTGAAAGGAAGCTTCAGAGAGGCCAATTCCTTGATTGAGAATGCTCATGCGGAAGCATTCTCATGAAGGTGGTTTTTACTAACTTGCTTTGGTTTCCTACTTTATCGTTCTTACGCTCTTGTATGATCTTGCCACGTAAAGGATTGCAGACGAGGTCTAGTTTGGAAGACGACATCCAAGTCCTGAAGGAAGACAACAGGCATTTGGTGCTACTCGTTTTGACGTCCCAATTATTTACATTTACAATTGCTTCATGTTGATCACCATATCAGGAGGAGCGATTGAAAGGTGCCCTTGCAGATATGTACAAGTTGTCCGAGCATGCAGAGTAAACTCCTGGCTCTGTTTGTCCGGTATAATTTTTTTCTTTCTTCCGAGTGGCCTTCTACAGTGTTGAGAAGAATGCATCTGCGACAAGCTTGGCTGAACTGGTAGTACTTCGTTTTTCTAATTTTCGATAAATCTTGTTTTGTTTTGGCAGGAAGATATGATCCGAAGATTAAAGTACGAGTTAGATAAGATGACTAGCAGCAGTAAGAAGAAAGAGGACATTATCAGTAATGATAACTGCAAGGTTGGGGATTGCATGGGTTTTATGTTGAAGAAATTTTTTAACTAACGTTGATTTTTTCAGATTGAACAACTGCACTCATCCTTAACAAAGACCCAGAGAGAGCTGGACGTTGCATTGGCAGAGGTTTGCTGAAAGTGTTTAGGTTGTTATTGAACTTTGTCTCAACAGCTCGAGAAAGAACGATATAACATAGCAGTTAAGGACGACGAGATTCAAGAGCTAGATTCTGTGAAGAGAGGAATTGGTGAAGAAGCGTCCCAGCTGCGTTCAAGCCTTTCAGAAGTATAATCAACAGTCCAAACTTTATTATTTGATTCGTGTGTTTTAGAAAGAAGACTATATTCAACGGCTGGAGGTCAAGCTTAAAATTGGCGTGGCCGAACATGAGTTGAAACTGAAAAACATGGAGGAAGACTTTTCGCGAACGGTAGTACTTTTCTTCTTTCTTGTTTATTTATATTACTGTTCCTTCTTGTGTTCTACAGAGAGAACTTCGGCGAGAGAAGCACCGGAAGGGATTGCAGTCTAAGCTGAAGGAGCAACAACTGAAACACCTGACTCATTTAAATATTTATCAGAAAAGGGTAAGCAAATGAAACATATGTTTTGATATCAATTATAGTGTCAGGTTGATCACCTCGAGGCTGAAATTGAGACGCTGAAAGTACATGGTGAACATGAGCTTAAGTCTCTAAACTCCCAAGTAACAGATCGTGAAGACAATTTTAAACTGGTACGCTGAAACTGGTCGACGATTTGAGCTTTATGTTCTGATGTGAAGGTGTGCTTAAATTTCGAACGAAAACTTCAAGAGTCTCAACGAAAGGGTACACAGCTGGAAGAGTCACTGGAGTTGCTGGCTCAAGAGGTAAGAAGATTGTCTCGTGTTTATTTGATCTGAATCAGTTGGTAGTTTTCAGCTTCGTTCGAGAGAAAGGCAAAAGGTTGCTGACATCGAATCATTAAACCGAGAAGTTGAGGATGCGAAACTTGCGGAGAAGAATGCCGAAGCGGCGGCTTTGCAAAGCTATTTGGCCAAGCTTGAACAGTAAACAAAAGACAAGGACGCGTTCATAGTCGTAGTTGTCATCACTGTAGGAAGGAGAAGGAATTCCATCAGAACGTGGAAGACGAATATGAGCGAGCTGAATGCGCAATTCAGAAGTTGAACGAGATGCATGCTATCGCTATAGAAGTTGCTCTCCATAACCATCAGGTTGGGCCTGTGTTTTTTTTTTCTTCTTTGCTTGTTTAGTAATTTTGCAAATTCTGCAGATGGAGCGTGACGCTCTTAAAAACGCGTTTGAGGAAACTAAGGTAAATCATTTTCAATTTATACTCTAGAAACACTTAATCTGCATGACAGGCACAAGAGATTCGAGTGGCAGCTGAGAAATATCAGAAGCAAATAGAGGAGGCTGAGGCTGAGTTTGAAGAGGAGCGCAGAAGGTTCAGGCGTGAGCAGGATGAAACACGAGTTGTAGTCGTTCAGCAACAAAATGCTTTAGTAATGGCTCATCAGCACGCTCTTGAGGTATTTCCTGTTGCTTTTCAGAATTTCCTTGTATGTAACGCATTGGAAAAACACAGGCTCAAATGAAAAAGGCAGAGGTTGAGGTGACTCAACTCAAAGAAACTCATGCGAGGGAGATGGCTATTGCTGTGTCTCGGTCCACTGAAAAGGTGGTCTTGGAATCTCTGACCTTGCATGACGACCACAAGAAGCGGCTAGAACGTCTTTCTGAAGTCCATAGATCAGAGACGCAAAAACTGAACGAGATCCACGCAAAGGAAACAGAGAAGGTTGGCTTGCTCTTATTTATATTGTCTTCTTTCTAACTCCTCCAGGCAGACTAAATCCCATAACTCTCACTTGATGCACCGTATCACCGATCTGGAAAACATGGTGACTCTTAAGGTTCGGCTCATCACCATCATTTCGTCTCGCTCACTCTTGATTCTTACAGGAGCAAAAACTGAAAGATTTAAGCGATAACAGGCGTGAGATTGAAATAAAGAGCGAATCTGCTTTGAAGGAGTTGAGGCTGAGCCATGAGAAAGCGTAAGCTTTAATTTAGTTAAGCCGCACGTATTCCTTTCTTTGTACTGCCAGCTTCAACTTTCAGCGGTGCAAGTTTTCCAAGGACAAGGAAGCTATGGCAAAGCAACTGGAAAAGAAATACCGGACCGAGCTAGACGCCTGCAACACGTTTCATGCACAGCAATACCAAAATCCCCAACAAGATCTCAACCGTAGCAAGGTAGCCTGTTTCGCTTTTACATTCTTCTGTATCAAGAAGACACAAAGAAAAAAACTTACCGTGAAGTCTTTGGTACGCCAGATCTTTAGCTTCGCACAACTCTTGAAGCTTCACGTACAGCTGCTCCAAGTATGTAATTCTCTCCACATCTTCTGGTTTCGACTCTCGGTTATCAAATCGTTCCTGCAGCTCTGGAAAAAGCAAAGTAAAAATCTTGTCAACAGGACACACAGAGACGTTACCTTCAGCTTCACAAACTGTTGCTGTAGCTCTGTCATTTCTGCTTGCTTTTGCCTCATCACAAGCTGGCGATTCCAAGAAAGACGCATTGGCTGATGGCTTACTCGCAGGTGAGTCGAAACAAATCAAGATGGAAATGCTAAACCGAGAAGAAAACTACAACAAAATCTTCAGGAGCTCCCCAGTGGTCCAGCCGGTAAACTTACCTTACGTTTAGACTCCTCGCTTTTGGTTCGATTTATTTTTCCCTCTATGTTATGCTAGACATCGATTGAATTGAAGCCAAGGAGCCCATCGCGATCGGCGCAAGGCTCACGCTCAGCATCTCGTCAAGGCAACCGTGTAGAAATAAAGTTCTAGATCATTCTAAGTGCCACCTGGTAAATTAAAGCAAGACGTCGGCATTGTTTTCTTCCCTTGATCCATCTTAAATTTATAAAAGTTCGCCGCATGGCAAACTCTGCTGACCGCTGTTGACTCGCCTCTTTGACATAATTCAAGAAGCATTTTGACTTGGAAGAACAGCAGAAGTTTACGAAGTTAACCAGCGTAACTTTGCCATTCACGCTAGGAGTTAATCCAAGTGAATTTGCTAGCGTGCATCAGAATGCTTCGATGTAGAAGCGAATCCTGCTTTTCTTGCCTTTCGGGCTTGTATAAAATCGCATTGTGGCTGGACCTAAATCTCGGAAGATTGGGAGGAGCAGTGGGCGACGCTAGGCATCGCTCATTCGGAGGTGGTGGGAGCTTTAGAATTTGGTGGGGTGCTGGCGGTTGGCGACCTCAGCGTCGCTCTTGTGGAGGCTGCGGACCGACACAGAGTCAGCTCGGCTAAGATGACAACAACGAATGTGGAAGTTGCTGGTGGTATGTATGTGCCTCATAAGAATTAAATGGCTTAACTTTTGCTGTGCAGAAGAACAATCCGCTGCTTGCCGCCGCTACGGCCTTGCCCGAGCGCCAAAGCTCGTGGAGATGATCGCGGCGTTGCCAGAGAATGAGCGCGATCTCGTCCTGCCCAGGCTCAAGGCCAAGCCTGTGCGCACTGCCTCTGGGATTGCCGCATCGGTGCCCACACATTGTCACGACTGGGAATATCTGTGTCTACTGCCAGGGAGGCCCAGATTCGGACTTCGAATATAGCACACAGTCCTACACTGGGTATGAACCAACGAGCATGAGAGCAATTCGAGCAAGGTAAATTCTATAGTCTTTTTCATTTCTTTTTTCGCTAGCAAAAACAAATACAGGCTCGAGGTCGAGTGGATCAACTCAGGCGTCTGGGCCATATCGTGGATAAGGTGATCAGGTTTATGGATTTTCTTCTCTGTCACTGAGCAAACGTGATCGCCACAGGTTGAATATATCCTTATGGGAGGTACTTTCATGTCTTTGCCAGCAGACTACCGCGACTATGTTATCCGGAATCTCCATGACGCTCTGTCTGGTCACACTTCTCGAGATGTGGAGGAAGCCGTGAGATACTCAGAGCATGCTGCCATCAAGTGCATTGGACTGACCATTGAGACGTAAGGCTTGCGTGGTTTCTTTCCACACCTGGTCGTTTTCCTCGCTGTTGCAGGCGTCCCGACTACTGTCTGTCTCCTCACTTGCGCCAGATGTTGTCTTATGGCTGTGCGCGGCTTGAGATTGGGGTGCAGAGCACGTACGAAGATGTCGCTCGAGATACTAACCGGGGCCATACGGTTGCTGCTGTTGCCGACTGCTTTTGCCTTGCCAAGGACGCTGGCTTTAAGGTGCGATGGCATTTCCTACACGAACTTCTTTCGCTGATTATGTATTTCAGGTGGTTGCTCATATGATGCCTAACCTTCCAAACGTCGATATGGAACGGGACATGGAAAGCTTCCGCGAGTTTTTTGAAAATCCTTCCTTTCGAGCGGACGGCCTCAAAATCTATCCAACGCTGGTTATTCGAGGGACAGGTTTGTACGACCTATGGAAGTCTGGAAGGTTAGTGTATTTGCTGGTCTTTTCTCCGAGACAAAACTGATGTGCATCCTGATTGCTACAGGTACAAGAACTATCCACCTGAACAACTCGTCAATCTGGTTGAGAATCTCAATCGCTTTCTTTGCAATCGTTTTGATTGCAAACGCGAATATTTAGCATATAGCGAAGATGAATAAAATCAGTGAGATCTTATGACAGCACATATTGTATTTAAAAGCTGCTAGTAATGAGATCAAACTCTACAACAAGTTGTAGTGCTAGTAATCCTAGGTGGTGTTTTACATTCCTTCCACCCAGCAAAACTATCTTGAATGCTAGCAAATCAAAGTTGACTCCAATTATTGCAAACTAGTTATCTGCGAGATTGAATCCATTTATTATATTGAATAAAATAACACCAAGATTTCTCCAGTAATCAAAAGTTACTACAATTAGCAACTTTCTAAACACCTTTGATGATAGCCGAACGATTTCGGTCAAATTCAAGGAAACAACCACCATTCGTTTTTCCAATCTTATTGCTTACAAAACCCATGCCGTCACGTAGTCAAGCGTTTGGACCGTCAGATCACATCCCAGCCCTTGGATGATTAGAAGCGTCGAAATGTGAAGCTTCCATGGAGCATGGGCTTCCGTGTAGAAGTTTTGTGGTCCAAAGCGGCCAAGTCTCCAAGTTATCATAGCTTCAAATATTTTAAGCCCTAGCTCCCAAACCATTTTCCGTTCTCCTCATTTCTTCCGGCTCGATCGATCCAGGGATGTAGCGCCAGGATCTGGATCTCGATCGACTCGACTTCTAGTGGTAGCTCGTCGAATCGGGGCTGGAATTTTGTAGGTCGCCTCGCCCCGGAATTCCAGATATTGCCGAAAAGATTGCATTGGATCATCGCGAAAGAGGGGAAAAGGGGGGAGCGATGGCGGCTCCGACCGAGGTGGAGTAGCTTCCATACTTTCCAGAATGGAGGGAGCCAAGCAAGATCTAGATTTCGATGGTATCTCGTCTCTTGAGCTCTTGATCTCTTCTTACAAGTGTATACTTAGCTTTGAAGTGGCTCATTTTGTGCAGAACCATTTGAAGCGCTCCTTGGTAATCCGGGTGACCCCGGCTGCGAGGATAAAGTAAAGAGCATGATAGAAAATGGCTGGGATATCCACAATCTCGTTGATGACCATGGTGCCACCACTGCACTCCATTGGGCAAGCGCGAGTGGGAATCTCAGACTGGTCAAGGCTTTACTTCCCAGAAGCATCAGAGACATCCTCAAAAAGGATGGGCTTGGCAACACTGCACTTCATGCAGCTGTTATGAGCAACGTTGCGGGGGTTGTTGAGGTATTGCTTGAACAAATCATGAAGAAGAATCTAAAAGCTGTGGGCTTGTGCAACAACAAAGGAGAAACACCCTTGCACATGGCAGCTACATTCCAAGATGGAACAAATGTTACCCGTTTGCTAACTTTACTTCCGACGAGCATTGATGACATCGTGAGGCCTGATAACGATGGGAATACCCCACTTCATGTAGCTGCTTTTTGGGGTTACCATGGCACGTTCGAATATATGATTAAACGGCTAGGAGCCAACTTTGACGCCGATCAGTATGTCAACAACGATGGCAACACGCCTCTTCACGTGGCTATGACAGAAGGATGTGGGAACATGTGTCTTTTGTTGATAAAATTGGGTGCTAATCTTCACAAACTCAACAAAGCTGGCTTTTCACCACTGATGCTGTTGACAAAGGTGCGTCAGCCTCTCCAGGTGAGAATCATGAGGAAAGTCCTCAAGAGAATACTGTCAACCGACCTAGCAGGTATTTCTGAAGAGCTTATGCGATTGCTGACAGTTCCCGAGGTTGGGCATCTCTTAGTCTTGCATGGCTGCCTTTGTATTGGGAAACTGGACCTGGTGAAGCCTCTATTTAGGCACTTTGACGTCGAGCATAATCGTCTTGCCCAGCTACTGGTTGAGAAGGACAGCAGGTTTACAGGGGAGACCTCTTTGCATGTAGCAGCTTATGGACAGGATGTTGCGGTTCTGAACATGGTGGTGGAGAAGCTGCAGGAAGGTGGGGACCCTTGGGACGTAGACTGCACTAACAACATGGGGCAGACGCCTTTGCACATTGCATTTGCAGGAGGCAACACTAAAATGGTTGAGCGTTTGCTCGAGCTTAAAGCTGATATAAACAAGACTGATAACATGGGGACTGGCATGCTGCACTTTGCTTGTAGAGGTAAAGGTAGGAAGGTTGAGGTTCTTGAGCTCTTGGAGGAGAAGCTAGGGGAGCAGCTGGAAATCAGCAAGGCAACAAAGACTGGCTTGACCCCGCTGCATTATGCAGCTTGGAATGATAAAGAGGAAGCAGGAAAATGGTTGATAAACAGGAATGCCGATTTGACTGCTGAGGATTCTGTTGAAAGACTTATGCCATGGCATTGGGCTGTCATTGGAGGATCTAAAAAGTATACTTGGCTTGTCGACTCTCACTTGGAAAGAAGCGTAAGATTGTTTAATGGGAATGTGGACTTTGAAAGGTGGCAACAGGTGTTTCATTTAATTGAAGCCCATCGCTCACATGAGCCGGATTTGGTGTGTTGGAAAGTATTAAACCGTATTCAGGCGCAGCACAAGAAACTTGAGCCTGGATTATTGGCTTGCATTGCGGCTTTAGGAGATAGTGACACAAATGAAAAGCTTGCATCACTTCTCATTAAATTCTCATCGGACGAGCAGGCTAAGGATTACATTTTAAAAATAGTCAAGGAATCACGAATATTGGAATGGGCTGCATTCTATGCCAAGGACACAACAAGGGGAAGAACACGAGCCAGCGATGTAGAGCCAATGTTCAGGGCCTTGCAGATCTTAAGCCAACTAGATCGTCGTGGCAAAGAGCAACTAAATAGATATGCTTCTAGCAGCCAGTTTTTGGTGGATGCTTTCAAGATTGGTTTCCTTAGTGAAGATGTGTGGAAATCCGGGTTTGCCACGAGCCTAGCTACAGCATGCAGTCGATGGGGGCTTGGCGATCTGATCAAGTCAGTCCTGCTGCCAAGTGCTCGTTGGTCTGACCAGGAATCGAACGAGAATCTAAACAGGGTCCTGAGAAGTAGACATTTGGCCCACATGAGCATCTCTAACTTGGAGGAGGACATCCCTCTGGCTTACTGGTTAACAAGGCTGAAAGTGAAAAACACAGCAGAAAGTACTGGCAGTGACCAAGACGAGAACAAGAGCAAAGCTCATGTAAAGAAAGTTGAAGATCTTTTAGAAAGCAGGAAGATTGGAGGGATGCTGGAGTACCCAAATGACAAGGGAGCTCACACAGGCAGGACTGCCTTGCATTGGTCCACCATCTTTGAGGAGACCTCTACCACCCTCTCTATCCTCCATACAAGGAATTGTAGAGTTGACATATTTGACAACTTTGGAAAGGCACCATATTGGTATGCTCCAAAATCCTGGAAAAACAGCTTTCTGCTCAACAGCCTGAAGTGGGAGCAGTACCTGGACAACTTGCACAGGGACCGGGAACTGTTTGTAGATGCCCTCAATGCCATATTGGTGGGGGCAGCTCTGATTGCAAGTGTGACATACAGTGGATCCCTCAGCCCACCTCTGCAATACTCCCTGAAGCTCATGAACCACGGCCAGCAGGAGGATGACCTCAAGTATGTGGCCATCAACAATCCAGGAGTGAAAGCATTCTGGATCTTCAACAGCCTCTCCTTCTTCTTTGCAATGGCAAGTGCACTGGCTGGAGTTGCAGGCATCCTCCCACTGCCCCAGGTGTTTGACTTGGGTGTCATTGACAGGCTGAGGTGGACACTGCTCCTCGCTGCAAGCCTGCTGGTTGGCTCGATTTGCTTTGTTCTCGTGGCGTTTGCATGTGCAGGCTTTGCAGTCTTGCCACCTTTGTTCCGCTACAACGTTGTTATGATAGTCACATCGGTGCCGGGGGGATTGCTGTGCATGCTGATGACTTTGCTGTTTATCAAGGCGCTCTCTCCGCTTCTGTCTTGGGCGTACACATGGTATACTGATGCTCCTGGTCTGAAAGCCCCGAAACAGGAGGGCAGAGTGGAGGAAACTGCGGTGGATGTTGTTGACACTGAGGACCAGAATGCCGGCAAGATCTTGAGGTGGGTGCTAGACCCAAGTAAACAACCGGTTTACTCTGGTGTGATCTACCGGAGGATTCGTGGATACCCGTGGATGGATGGTTTGGAGCGGCTTGGTCAGAGTAGCTGAGTTGTCTTGTTTGCTCTCGCGGCTTCATCCCCATCTGCTGCTTTCGACCGCGTTTGATCTTCACAGTACCTGATTTGTAGCACTTGCTATAAGCTCCTGGTTAATCACCAGACCGTGCTCTTCTCCGGCTTCTTCGGCCACCAGGTATGCCTCTCGCAGGAAAACGTATTGCTCGGCTGCCAGCCAAGGTGGTGACGTCCGAGACGAGCGCCCTCTTCTACACGGTAAAGCTCAGGAGCTCCAGGATCCCGGAGACCCCAGCCGGAGTGTGACACGCCCGCTGGGAGAATTCGTAAGGAACGGTAGCCTCTGGAAGTTCTCGAGCTGCCCGAGCTAGAGCCTTCCGGATATGAGATGACAAAGGACGCGTCCTTGATTGAGCCACAGCTTTCTTCCGTTCCGTCACAGCCAGTTCTCCGTCCCATGAAAGCAGCTCGACGTAGGAATCCTCGGAAGAAGGCGACCCGGAATTGTTCAAGACTCTGCAGTTCTTCGCATGGCAATGGCCTGTTCTTGGCCTGTTGAAGCACTCATCTGTTCCAGAAGAGCAGTGAGACTTGCACGCAGGGAACTCGAGCTTAACTTGAAGAAAATCCAGGAATGCATGCAGGTGATATTTGACGTGCACAGCATAGAATGCAGTGAGTGCTTTAAAGCAACGATACCTGAGCTGAGAAAGAAGAAGCAAACAATCAGAGATGGAGTTGAACGTCTGAGACAACTTACAGCCGAAGCAAGAGCAGAGCCTGACTTCTGGCACGCACCGTTTCATGACAATATCTATAGCAAGCTCTGGGAGAGTCAGAGTGAGTTACCTGAGCGTCGCAACAGTCGACTTCCGGTCAGAAGGCAAACTGTTCACTGGTGGTGTCACTCGCCAACTAAAGAT